TTAATCGGTGCATTAAGTACAGTAAAACCTTGGATTGCGAGTAACTTGGTCTGCGAGTGTTTTGCAAGACGAGCAAACATTTTAAATAAATATTAATTTGATAAACGAGCGAGGGTCTTGCAATACGAGTATACGTATAGCTTTGTCTGCCGAGCGTCACATGATCACAACTGATGTACGAGTGCTTTGATATACGAGTGCTTTGGATTACAAACACGTTTCCGGAACGAATTATGCTCGCAATCCAAGGTTTTACTGTATTCTGATTTGAAAAGCCTATATTGAAACAAGGTATTGATGTGGTGATTTATTTTTTTAACAGAAGAGGCGGGGAGACCACAATCCAAGATATGGAGGATTCCAGTCCCAACTTAACAATGAAAGAAGTTAAAAATGAGCCTTATGGAGGTGAGCTCTTGTGTTTCAAGGTTCAAACACACAGGCGTGTCTCTGCTTAAACATTCACTGGAGTGGCACTCATCTGTGCTGGCAGTCCTGAACCAACCTTGAACATTCTATATACTCATGATAAGGCCAGTCTTTCTAAAGGACAACCGCACTTAATTTTCTACAAAACAGTACTCATGTTGGTGAGCCTGGAGGGATAGTATGGTGAGAGTCAGCCTGTTGATTGTGAGTCAAGTGTCATATTTCTGGACTAATACACTCCAGTGCTCAATGTGATACTTTAAAGTACCATTACTGACTTTCCATTAAGAAGTAGGAAAGTAATAATTCTCAGGAATATTGTGCTGTTTTTTTTATTGAAGATAGAACATTTCACATCCAACCGGCAATTGTGTTTATCTCCCCAGACAATGAGACGGAGACTCAATATCCAGAAGCGGGCGACTTTATTCACAGTCACTCGGTGCCCGACTTAAAGAGAGAAAAGATCGGAGGTAGGTTTTTTGCGGAGCAGGACAAAACATGATTTGTATGGTGGCAGTGCTCATTTGTAGCTTCGTGACTTGTGTGTGCAGTTGGTGGATCACAGGAAATATAGAACTTCTGTGAGACACTGAACTACATTACAGTGAGTTGCTTGTTTTAGGAAGCAGTCGAGCAAGTAGGCATCTGACAAATTTGTGCAGAGAGGGTTTCTACAGACACTGCAGATTACTCATTTAAAATCCATCCTAATGGAATCATCCTAATAAAATGTAAGCACGAGACTCGGCGTGATTTATCCTGCAGCGTTAAAACAACGTGTTACTATTAGAGACTCAAATGCTGGTTCACGAGGGAATGGTATTGTAAGGTCCAGGGAAGTGCGCTGTGTGAAGTTGAGGCATGGAGTGAGATCAAGCGACGATTGAAGCGTCCAGCAGGCTGGCCTCGTCAGACCTGGCTGTGCCACATCTGGATGGACCCAGGCCTGTCTGCTCCAAAAGCGTGGACAGCTGGTGCAAGTGACAAAGCCATGATGGAGGGCACTACGACCCTTTGCCGGTCACACACAAGAGTAGCAATAGTTTGTAGTGCAGGAACCACTGCTTTTAACGTTTCCGTTGAAGAGCATCCACCTTTAACATCTCAAATGTACGTTATCCTCCCACAGATGAACCCTTGGTCGGAGCTCACGAAGGGATTTCCGTCCAACATTTGGCCTCTGTGCAGGGTGATACTGACATTTCTGCTATATCGCCAGGCATCAATCACACACTCCATCCTCTTGCCGAGGTCGCTGGCATCCATAACTCGGTGCCAGACGTTCCTTCGAACGCCGGGCACGGGCCATCCGCTGCAGGGCCACCTGCCCCTGGACGGATGCCATTCATCTGCAGGTTGTGCGGCCGCAACTACGCGCGTGCCAGCATCCTCCGCCACCACCGCTGCCCACGCTGGCGGCATCGACTCGGTGACGCACGGCTCGAGCGGCCTCCCGCGGTGCTACCACCGCAGACAGACCTGCTCGGGCACGCCAAAGACAAGCCGTTCTCGTGCGACGCGTGCGGCAAGCGCTTCTCGAGCAACTCGAACTTGTGCAGCCACAGGCGCGTGCACACGGGCGAGAAGCCGTACCGCTGCCCGGTGTGCGACAAGTCGTTCTCGCAGAGCGGCACGCTGAAGAACCACATGAACACCACATGGGCGAGAAGCCACACCGGTGCGACGTGTGCGACAAGCGCTTCACGCGCGTCTCTAACCTCAACGTGCATCGGCGCGTGCACACGGGCGAGAGGCCGTACTGCTGCACGACGTGCGGGGAGGGCTTCTCGCAGGGCGCCAAGCTGAAGGCGCACATGCTGACACACGGCACGGTGGGGTCGTCGGGATCGGGGTCGGAGAGTGGAGTGGCTGCTGAGACTTGAGGCCAGGGCACCTTGCAGCGCTTCGGTGTGAACAGCATGGGCTGTGTTGGGAAGACTCGCACTTGAAGATGCGTGAATGAGAGTGCTGAGGGTTAATAAGGCTTAAAGTCGACCTAAGGGAGCCCAGGGCAAATTGAAATACCACTTGATACATATGTTGCGCACCACAGCCAGGAATAAAACCAAGCTCTCGAGAAACGTAACATAATTAGAGAACTATTAAACCATCTAACCTATGAATATCATTGTTTGTCTGTGTGTCTGTGTGTGCGGCCGAAACTTGCGAAGAATTAGGCTCGCAAACCGTGGGTTTATATTTTTATAAAATAGCCAGGTACCACGCCGTAAGCCCCGTGGTGAGCAAGCGGTATTCCGTTTTCCCACCCGTCAACTTTAACGTAGTTTCATTAGTGATTTAGTTCTGTTTTGTTTAATTATTTATTACATAGCGCGCGCTCGACCAGACCAACTCGCACGCCTTCGGTAGGGGGGATGGCCCCTACCAAGTCACAGGTGGGGGTGAGGGGGACATTTTCTTTCGCATTAAAAATGCAATAAAAATACACAATGCTGAGGTAAATTCTTCACTGTGATGTCCTCTTCTCCCCCACCCTCAGTCTGTTTGTAGAAACAGACTGAGGGCACCCCAATGGGCTCCCCCCTATCTCTGGTTGTAGCCAACGTGTTCAAAGTTTGAAACTGATGCCATCCAGACTGCCACTCTACGCCCGACCTTATGAAAGAGGTACGTGGATGACACGTTTGTCATCTGGCCACATGGCCGGCCTGCTCTACACCAATTCCTCGACCACATCAATTCCATACACCCAGCCATCAGATTTACCATGGAGGTTGAAAAAGAAGGCAAGTTACCCTTTTTGGATGTCTTAATTAAAAGGAGACCTGGTTCAGTGAGCCACTCTGTCTACAGGAAAGCTACCCATACGGATGCTTACTTAAAACCGATTCCACCACCATCCATCCCAGAAGAACTCCCTCATCAAGACTCTAGCCCAATGCATTTCCGACCAGAACACATTGCCAGTGAACTCAAATACGTGCACCAAGCTCTCAAGGCTAATGGTTACTCCGACTACACAATCCCCAAAGCCATCACTCCAGTCATGAAGAAGGATCCTCTTGAGCCATTCAAAACCATCACCTTACCCTACATTGCGGGGGTCACAAAAAAGATCTCCAAAATCCTGAATAAACACAAGATCCAGGTCCGACTCAACACAGTACATAAAATCCGTGATCTGGTTCCATCTGTAAAAGATGTGGTTCCAGACATACAGTACCCGGGCGTTTACAAACTAAAGTGCCTCTGTGGTAGCAGCTACATTGGACAAACCTAACAACATATCTCGGACCACATCCACGAACATAAAGCAGACTTGAAACACGGTAGGACGAACTCCTCAGCCGTGGCAGATCACTGTTATAATTCAGTGGGCTCACATGACATTGACTTTTCCAAGACGGAGGTTCTCTGCAAGCCATCCGGCTACCATAAGAGATTCGTTCATGAGGCCATCCACATATACAAACACAGACAATTTCAACCGAGAAGATGGATTCTGGCCTAGTAACCATTGGAAAGCTGTTATAAACCATTTAGGTTCTTAATTGATTGTCTTTTACAGTGACCTTCAGACCGCAGTCCATTTGCTGGCATTGCCTCTTAATACCTCTCACACCACGGTTAATGATATGGTTTATAACATGTGGTATAATAATACAATGTATAACATTGTAATGTGTAACATAATTCATAAGGCAATATATAGCATCGTAATTGCATAGTGAATATACAGCAGTGTGGTATATAGTTGGGTTCATAGAATAAGACAGTGTAATGTTACAAGTCTAATATTTTATAGTCTAAAGTATAGGGTTGTGTAAAGTAACGCATTGTATAATTCAAAGGTGGAATTTGTCTATGGATATGATGTTATACCATGTAGTTTAGATTGGAAGGTATAATATTGTATTGTATAGTCCAGTTTATAGCATAGTCATAATGCAACACAGGACACAGCAGCGCACCTTGGCTGTTTTTCTTCTTTTTCCGTGTTCCCAGCCCCCCCTCCTCCGCTCCGGAGGTGGGGCTGGTAACATGCTAATTCATATGTTAACTCTGCCCACACAGCTTAAAAGACGCGGTCCTTGCTTGACAGTGTTCATTCAAGCTCTGTCTTCTGGACAGACCTGTTTCTTCACCTGAAGAAGGCCACTTGTGTTGTGGCCGAAACATCGTGAGAATATTTATGTTTTATTTTATTATTTTATTCTACGTGACTTTACCGAAGAACCAAGAAGATGAATCCTAGCAGTCACGAAAGCTTTAAATTAAAATTTATGTACGGTGTTAAATCGAACCTGGATCTTATGTTTGCTCATGATTTTTTAATTATTTTTAGTGACTCCTGCTATGTATGGCAAGGTGATGGTTTTGATTGGGTCCTCAGATGGTTCTTTCCCAACGGTTGGGATGAGAGCTTTACAGATTGTGGAATCTGAATATCCATTCATCTTGAGAGCTTGGTGTACGTGTTCCACTTCACTGGTTAGGTGATGACGGTCGGAAATACATCGAGCTCTATGGTGTAGAGTTTTGATGAGGGAATTCTTCTGGGATGGATGGTGGTGCGAGTCAGGTTTTAGGTAGGCATCCGTATGGGTGGCTTTTTTGTAGACAGTGTCCCATTGAGCCATCTGGTCTCTTTTCGATTAAAACATCCAAGAATCGTAGCTTGCCATCCTTTTCCACCTCCATGGTGAATTTGATGGCTGGTGTATAGAATTGATGTGGTTGAGGAATTGGTTCAGAGCTGGTTGGCCATGGCCAGATGACGAACGTGTCATCCATGTACCTCTTTCACAAGGACAGACGTAGAGTGGATGCCTGGATGGCATCTCAAAATTTTCCATGAAAACATTGGCTACAATTGGAGATAGGGAGAACCCATTGGGGCACCTTCAACTTGTTTGTAGAATGTTCCATTCCAGGTGAAGTAAGTTTGGTGAGGCAGTGTCTCACCAGGGCTGGTACATCAGCATTCAGTCATTGTTGGACCAAATCTTCAATGATTGCAATGGTGTCAAGCACAGGAACTTTGGTAAACAAAGAGACCACATCGAAACTAACGAGCAAATCACGTGTAGATGTTGAGATGTCCTTATTACGATACCAAGTGAGCTGAGTTGAGTACAGCTGAGGTGGTCTTACCAGTGAAGGGTTGTAAGGTGTCAGAAATCGGGCCAGTTTGTAGGTGGGTGAGTCAATGGTGGAGACGATAGGACGAAGGGGTGTCCCTTTTTGGATTTTTGGTAAGCCATACAATCTGGGTGGTCTAGCAGCAGAAGGTTTTAAGGAAAACCGCTTGGTTGGTTCGATCAAAGATGTTGTTTTTCGTAACGAGGCGGTTGGTGGGATCCCTTAATTTTGTTACAGCTACCATAATATTTTCTTGCCTTTTTTGCTTAACTCGCGTAGATAGAAGCCTATTATTTAAATAATCACCTTGCAAATATTAAAATAATAATGTTTGTGTGCAGACAACTAATATTTATATTCTTGCTTCTTTAGCTAAACTCACGTACATAGAAACATATTACTTTAATAATCACCTTGGAAATATTAAAATATTAATGTTTTGCGTGCTGACAACTAATATTTCAAAATTTACGTGGTCAATATTAATATAATTATGATTGTGTCTAAGTCCTTCTGTGCGTGTGAGTCCATGTGCGTGTCTGTGACGATGTTAGTGTGTGTATGCATAAGTCTATATTTGTGTGTGTGTGCAAGTCGATGTATGCGTGAGTTGATATGTGTGTCAGTCGATGTGTGTGTGTTAGTCAATGTGTGTGCGTTGCTCCATGTGAGTCAGTTTCGGTCACGTGTATGTAAGTCCATGTTGTGTGTGTCAGTCGATCTGTGTGTGGCTCTATGTGCGTGTGTGAGTCGATGTGTGTTTGTGTGTGAGTCTGTGTGTCAGTCGATGTGTGTGTGTTAGTCCATATGTGTGTGTGAGTCTATGTGTGTGTGCGTCGATATGTGTGTAGGTCGATGTGTGTGAAATCGATGTGTGTGCGTGGGTCCATGTATGTAAGTCCATGTGTGTGTCTTAGTCTTTATGTGTGTGTAGGTCCATATGTGTGTTTGTGTAAGTCGATGTGTTTCTATGTGTGTGGGTCGATGTGTTTCTTTTTTTGCCTGGGCAACGCCGGGTACTTCCCGCTAGTATTTATATATTCATTCAGACATGCCCACCCCCACATAAAAGAAAGATCCCCTATTTGGCTTTGAGCTGCTGGGACTAAATGGTTAACAGTGCTATGGGCCATCACTCAACAGCCTGCATGCACACTTGCACATTCATAATGTGTGGACCAGTGCCGATGGAACAAAAACTCATTGTTGACTTCCCGTTGAAGATGTATTTACTTTGTTGAACTTCTTTGGCACCGTACGTAGCCAACCGTGGTAATTGGAGGAATGGGAAAGATGACCTAAGTTGGGAATTGAACTTACCATCGAGAAAAGTGGCCAAATTGATCAAAGGATTGTCCGAAACCATGGTGATAAAATAACCAGCACTCAAATGATAATTTTATACCAAAAATATTACTTAATTTCGCGTGACATGATCGCACAAGACTTCACGCGTTGTATGATGTTATGTCATGCAGATTTAACCAAAACTTTTTGCGAATTAAATAATTTTAAGAGGACAAACGCAAAGCGTTGTGCAACCCACGCATACGCGTGTTTTCTCTTGTCCATATGTATTAAAAAAGTCTTAACTTGCAAAAATAGTTACATTTTGTTCCATTAAGATCTTCTTTACCAATCCCTTCCAGCGGGCAGACGTCTAAGCAGACAAATCTAAGCCCAGTTTCAATCTGCGGTCTCATCATTCCAACCTGCTGACCAATTGCAACGAGGTTGGCACATCTGTTTAAAGCACTTAATACGCATACGCCTTATGTCTTATTGTTGCATGTTCTGTAATGAGTACGTTTACCGTATGCTACGGATTCAAGGGCAACATTGGGGGGGGGGGGGGTGCGTCTTTTCCTCCGATTGAAGTGGGTATGGGTCAACATTTGTGTGACTTTATTGACACTGGGCACACGTTTGGAAAGCACATACTTTCCAGCTATTTGTTTCTGCGTGGTGCTTGCACATAGAAACTCTATGCAGGTGAAAAGCCTCTTCTTAGCTTCCGAGATCTGTTCAGATCTGGCGCATTGCGGGTGATTCTGTCATAGGCCTGCAATAGTGTCAAATGGAATGGATAATGTGATGCAAGGCCATAGCCATGGAGTCAACATTGGGGGTGACCAAATCTTCGAGGCTGTCTGGGGTCCCAACCCAGAAAAAAAATCTAAATTAGGAAACTAATTTCCTGCCTAAAATATATAAACATTAACGAACACATGGGATGGACTTTTTATTCGTTTTTACAATAATGTCTAATAGTGTATTGTATCACATTGCTCTGTTTTTACTTTTTTTACCATTTCTTGTTTCATTGTATGTAATGTTTGAGATTAGGGATTAATAAAGTACAACCATAACCAAATCATATAAACAGAAATCTATGCATTGATTTAGATGAAGACAAGTCCAGATATTGTGGCCAAGGTTTAGCAAATTGTTTTATTTATATTGGGGGGGGGGGGGGACATTTTGAGAATATTTTAATATTGGAGGGGGGGGATGTCCCCCCCCCCATGTGTCCCCCCCCCCCCAATATATATTATAATTACAGCCTTGATGTGAGGATGATGGGGCTAAGTAATCTTGATGGCAGTCGTAGCGTGATTATGACAGCCTATGCTGTTGGTGTATATTATGATGTAACGGTGTTCATTACGGAGAAATCTTTTTTTGGGATAGAGGAGCATCTCAGAAATCAAATGTTCTATCCTACTCCCGGCAGAATTACCCCCAAGAGAGTGGGAAGCTCTAGAGAACCCTCTCTACTAAATGATGCAACAAAAATAATCTTGATTGGCAGTCGGAGCGTGATTATGACACCGTATGTTGATGGTGCATATTATAATGTAACGGTATTGTGTAAAAAACACTTTTTTGGGGATCTCAGAAATCACTTGTTCTTTGTCACTCCCAAGTGGGAAGCTCTAGAGACCCCCTTCTTACTAAATGGCCTTGGGGAGCCGTCCATAAATGACGTCATGCAATTTTGGAAGATTTTTTTTATCCCCCCCCCCCATCGTCACACGGCGTCACAAAAAGTCAGACCCCCCCCCTCAAAACTGACGTCACAAAGCTCTGCCCCCCCCCCCCCCAAAGAAACTAAAACATGCTTCAAATCGCTTTAAACTATTGTTATTGTAGTGCGTATTTAATGTGCCGCTGCACTCTGATGTTGTAGAAAACATTTATTAAAAAGTATATTTAATTGTCTTGCTGTGGTTTTCACACCTGATGATGATTGCTTGTGTTGCAGTCGAAACGTCGTGATAATTTTATTGGTTTATATTTTTTATTGTTTCCCTTCTACGTGACTTTACCGAAAGAACCAAGAATATAAGTAGAACGTGTTGTCTATATTTATTTAAAGTTGCGCATTTTGATGTGACGTCACATTTCTCACCCCCCCCTAGATGGGTGCGTGACGTCATTTATGGACGGCCCTTGTTGGCCCATTCCACGCTCGCCAAAAGGCTGCCGAGGGGCTTTTTATTTTTCACCGCGGCCCCTTTAATCGTCGCGGTCAATTCGTCGCGGTGCCCGGGCAAAAGCCTGCATTAGGCCGCGAATGGCCTTAACGGGAGCGAGCGGAGCTCTCTCGAAATTCACTTCTCGGTTGCGTTTTCGCCGTTAATTTAAATAACAACAATAACAACCCGTGCCTCGATGAAAGTGGTCTCGATGCACGTCTTAAGGCGGCGGAAAGTGGGCAGACTTCGCGGCACGGTTGAGGATTTGTAAGCGCGGTGAAAAAACAAACAAAAACCCATCGTCCGGACTTTGTTGACGTCCCCGTTGCAAGGGCGTCCGCCACTATTGAACGTCTCACGGGTGCGTTCTCCTCCTCCTACTCCTCCCCCCGCACAGACGCCGCGTCCCTTCGTAGAAACCCACTCGGGGGATTTCCGTCCAGCGATTTGGCCTCCGTGCAGGGCCATGCTTGTTACGTCGTCGGCCGTGGGTGGGGTTGGGGGGTGGTGGGTGGAACGTCGGACGCGCGGTTCGTCGTCAGTGGCCACGCCGTTGTTGCTCGACGCCTCTGGCTGCCGTCGGTAGCGACAGCAACGTTCCGAAGCGGAGCGCGGTGACGTTAACGGGCGGTGAGAAGGGGGGAGCGCCCCACGTGGCGAGATGTTAACAACCTCGTGGGGATACAGGGAGTCGGTTCGATCCCGACCACGCGAACCCGGTACCCGTGGATTTAATTCCCTACCGCCCCCCCCCCCGGAGTCCCCCCGGGTTTGTTCCCCTCCACCCTTAGAATCGGCGTGCGTTTGAAGAGTCTTTGGCTTGCTACACATTTCCACTGCGTTGAGCCAAAAAGAGCTGCTCGTTGCAGAGCCTAGCGGTTCGAATTCAGCGGGCCGACCGGGTTATTCCTGCGTCGCATTATCTATGTCATACCGAGTAGGAGGGGGGGGTTGAAGATCCCGTGACGCCATCGGCAAGAGAAGGACATTGGCAAGCTAAAAACGTGGAGAGAGGACAAGTGCCGAACTCGCAAATAAATTCCCTTGAGGTTGCGCAGTAGGTGGCAATCATCGCCACCTACTGGAAACTTGGCTAAATATTTGTGTTTTTTTAATTAGGCACGATTCCCTGCGAGACACTCATGGGTAAAGCAAGCGTTCGCCACGTCGTGCCGAAATGCATCTAAATCTGGGCACAACTCCGAAGCGAAGCTGGGTTAAGCCTAAGGGGCCGTCCATAAATGACGTCACACACCTAGGGGGGGGGGATTCAGACATTTGTGACATTGGGGGTAGTGGTTGAGAAATGTGACGTCACATCAAAATGCGCAACTTACATAAATATAGACAACACGTTTACTTAATTAAATAGACTTTTAATAAATGTTGTCTCCTACAACATCAGAGTGCAGCGCCACATTAAATACGCACTACAATGACAATAGTTTAAAGCGATTTGAGGGGGGGGGGGTCTGACTTTTTGTGACGCCGTGTGACGAAGGGGGGGGGGGTCAAAACAAAAATCGTCCAAAATCGCGTGACGTCATTTATGGACGGCCCCTAACCGGCGTGGTTTGCAAGCCCGGTTAAATAACCCCCAATTTCCGACATGACACGTCTAGCCGTGGACTGACGAAGACCTCTATTTTATAGTAACATTATTTGCCGTGTTTTTATTCGAGGCGAATTATTTGGTGCGCTGGTGACGGTCGTTTAAAATGTAAAAAAAAACCTCAGGCCAAACGAGCGAAATGAGTGGAACCTGTCAATTGAACGGGGCGTTCAAGCCAACACTCGCAGCTGATGAGCTAGTTTTTAAACAATGCTTGTATTTTACATTGTAAGGTAATGTAGTTATAAGGGTTATTATATTGTGTGATATACAATGTCGTGTCGATTGACTGGCAGACATTGTGTAATTCCCATAATTGAATATGGGTAATAAATATCTACAGTTCTATGGCAGGGACAAGTTCACTCGTTTGAAAACACCAGTTTTGACTTTCCTTTCACAAGTGCCTGCAACATCACTAAGTGCTGACGATGTTGGTGGTGTTCGCCTTTGTTCTTCACTGATTTTCAGAGGGGGGCCCATTTTTGCCGAATAAGACGTGTCTGTGTAGGGGCCTCCACACATTTTAAACTATTTGGGATTTGACAGCAAAATGGGGCATTTTCTCATTTGTGTATTGTCAGGTGGCCTCAGTAAAGGCCACCAGGGGTCGCCACTGGCCGTGGGCCTTCCAATGAGCACGTGCTGACAGTGAACAGGATTGAGGCTGTGTTTGTGTGTGTGTGTGGGGGTCGCTCACGATGACCGGGTTCAAGGATATCGACGATGTACTTAAACGCAACTCTTCCCGTGACGGTCACCTCGGCGCCTCCTCGCCTCAGCGCAGGTCAGACACGGCAGGGCAGCAGTACAGCCAAGCTCACGACACCTTTTGAGAACCTGGGTTCAATCCCAGCCGCAGGCTGGATGTCCCACTTCTGATAAACAGAATAAAAAAAACTGATTCTGAAACCGGCTCGCTTGGGGATTATTTTAAATGCATGTACAGCCCTTCTTGTCAATCCAATTTTGGATGAGGGGCCTTCACATGCCATTCAGCTCGTGCCGGTTATTTGGCTATACTTCACTATGCTGGTCAGTTTTGGTTGGTAAAGGAGGTGGGAGGGGATCATCGATTTGGCTACAAAAAGGTAAAGTCAGCATCACGATCCATTGGCAGATAGTCCACAGGTGTCCACTGCACATTTCGTAATTTGTTTCCACTTTCCTCCTGTCTTCTGCCAATATGCATCAAGTAGTGACCACATCTTTCTGGCACCAATCTATGTCGTCGTCGTCAAGCCATTCTTTGTCAGATCTTCCTCTCTTTCCGGTTTCTTCCATTTTTCCCGAACAACACACTTTTAATATTCCTGTTTTCTTCATCCTACATACGTGTCCAATAGTGCCAGTTGCCTTCTTATCACTGCCTGCATCAGGTACAGCAATGGATTTTGCTCCACTATCCTTTGATGGCCACCACATAACCCTACAGCCCTATGACAACCTGTTTAGGCATGGTGGTCACTAAAGCACAAGGCAGGCTTAACTCTGCTTATCTTCTAAGATCTGTCGAGTTCAATTACATTTAATGTCATGGATCATAGGCAAGTTTAAACACTGATCCCGAAATCGAATTGATTTCCTGACCTTGAAAACTGTATGTAAAGACGCCTGGGGGAGATGCATGCTTGCAATTTCACTGACGAGTTTCAAGATGCCGAAGGATTCTTGTAAGCTGATCACGATCATCGTTTGCAGGAGGGGTCATTTGTGCTGCTCACAGAAGACCAGACAGATGGAGGATTTCTCATCCATCACTTCCTTTCCTCCTACGTAAAAGGTGGCTGATGGAAGTGTTGCTTCGCTGACGCCTCACTTCACATAAACCGATGCAATATGCTTTTCATATGAATGGTCGTGAATAATTGCTTCTTATATATATTCTTAGCTCTTTCGGTAAAGTCACGTTGAAGGGAAACAATAAAATAATAAAATATATAAAACAATAAAAATTCTCACGACGTTTCGACCATAACACAAACGGTCGTCATCAGGTGTGTCGGTTTATGGTCGAAACGTCGTGAGATTTTTTATTGTTTTATATATATTTTATTATTTTATTGTTTCCCTTCAACGTGACTTTACCGAAAGAGCTAAGAATATGAATTACTGCAGTCACGAAAGCTTTAAATCAAAATGCTTATATAGTTCATTTTAGAACCGCATTGAATGTTCAATGGCTTTTTGCGTTATTTATTATTTTTGTAAAGCACCCTGGGTTGCTTAGCTTGAAGAGCACTATGTAACAAACTTATCATCATCTGTCTGGGATTTATAAAATGAGTACCACATTGTGGGAGGGCAGCAGTACTCATCTTCTAAAATATTATTGACTCTCATGGGAGAACACGCCTTGCGAGCTCCTTGTGATAATTCCTCGACAGTAATCGTCGATCTGGTGCAGCCACGAGGCCTATGGCCGACCCTTAGCCTCCTCGACCCATGAGGTTATATCGAACAGAGAACCTGGTGGGCAGGATCAACCAATAATAATTTTGTACATTTAGTGTTCATATAATTATATAGCGCGAAACTATCACGAAGGATGGCACTATGTTTCACAGACATAGTCTGCAGTAGTTTCACAGGAGGAGCTAACGATGCTGTGTGTAATCCCAATTGAATCATCTTGATGGAATGTTTCGAATTTGGACCATGATGTTGGCAAATGGCCTATTCATTTCGAATGACGTCATGGGATTTTTGACATCCACTGTGAAGCAGACTGTTTTTTTTACGGTTATAACACCCAAATTAATAACCAGGGCATCCTCCCAGATTTAAATCACAAACTTCTAAAACAAGCGGCAAATGTGCGACCGCTGGGCCATGTAACAGCCAGAACCAAATTTAACGTGATGGGTTTTTTTGTGCAGTAGAGCCATCAACTCGCAACACTTGAGAACCCAGTTTAACCATAGGCACAGCGGCCTGGATTTGAACCCAGGCTTCGAACCCCAGCGCTCAGATCTATGAGCCATGCAGCTTAATTGCTTGTGTCCTCTTCCTCACAGATGGCTGGAAAGTGTGTTTCATTGCGATGGCTCAATCTTTCCACCACTACGCAACAGTCGCGCAAAAACTGGTGAGTCCTCTTGTTAACCACAACTCAAGGCCCCACATTCACCGCACTCGAAAACGATTTTAGTCATGGGTGGCTGATACCCCCTGCCTCTACAAACACAGGTTCTCAGCATCGTGTGGTCGATGCTCTACAATGAGTCCATTATCATTGGGAGTCTTAGTGAGCTGACTCAGAACGAGAGAGGTGTTTTTTTCGGGCCACGTGGCTACCTTTCATGAGTTGCACTTGCTCACCCGAGCCACCCTCAAGCAATAAAATGCAATGTGGATTGATATAGTGTTAATTGCTTTGAAAGAGCAAATTAATTGATTAATTGATGCCGTTTTTGATACAGGCATGCATTGTCACCGGATCTGAGTACGTGTGCACAATTTGAATTCATTGGACAACAGGAAGTGGACTAAATTTTGATTACAAGATTTGACCACGACAAACAGGATTCAAGTTAAGTAAAACCGTTGAAAAACATCGGAAAGCTATAAAGCACAACCGCGATAACCAACGTAGCAGTAGTAATCGATGCGTCGTTGCACCTCGACGCTTCGTTTCAACACGAACATTTAGAAATTGTTGCCCCCCTTTGATGTGACCCCTGACCCTGGGGCTGTGTGTCACGAGCAGGGTGTGAACTTGGGCTTGGCGCGGCGCGACGGGCAGCTCGTGGTGCTGGAGGGACTCACCGCGCTACGGGACCTCGCCCTCGACCGAGTAGGGGAGCGTGCCGAGCCGGCCTTCCCCTGCAGTGTCCTGCGGTGAGCGCGATGTAACCGCACCTTGTTCCTCGGTGTTCAGATATCCCGCCTCTCCCTCGGGCTTTGCTTCTTAAACTCGAGTCCCCACGACACACTGCAGCCAGGCCTAAAACCTTAAGATACTAATTGAATCGGTCGGACAGCATTACCTTTTCATCGGCTGCGTAAAGTTGTAATGGAAGCTACTTGGCCAATTTTTCCGTATGGTGCTCCGGATCTTCTCGTCCTTCGTTAATCCCTCTGTTCTCTACGCTTGCAGAGCATGGATCCTTTTAAAGCAACGTCTCCACTGGTTGAAACCTTCAGGCTGGCCTGCCTATGTACCATCCTGGGTTTAACCAAGCTGCATTGTGTGAGGAGCTCAGTTCTTTGAAAGGTCTGAACACAGCCTCATTAGTGAGCTCCTCTGGGCTGTGTTGCCTGGATCATGTAGCCCAGGACCTGTATGCCCAAGCAGCTTCTCTTTAAATGGGTGCAGGCTTGTGGAGGATGCTAGTGGGGAGTTTGGAGGTAGTTAAGCTCCAACAACAATGGAGTGCGGAGGAGTGCTGCTCATGGCAAGGATCGCAGTGCCAGGTGGCACAAATGCAGAGAGGTGGCATCGTGGGGAGCACAGGTGTTGCATCTGTCAATCATCTCAGGCAGACAACCCCGTTTGGGTTGTCTGCCTGAGATGTCTGACCCTGTTTGGGTTGTCTGGCTGAGTCTGCCCCATGACTTGCCAGTGAGATTTCAAAGCTTCACGTAGCTTGACACAAGCACTATGGTGACATCACGGCCACTTTGCTGTGAATGAGGCTGTTGTATGTGTTGTATGTGTGTGCGCGTGCTCAGCCCAGATTCTGAAAGCCTGCGGGATCTCTACACCTCTGTTAAGCACTGTCTGTTGTCTTCGGAGCCCGGGTCCCCGGTTCAACGCCCGGTCCTCATTGTGGACAGCGTGAACTCGCTCTCCACCCTGGGCTTCTCCGTGCCGGCCACGCTCGCATTCCTCCACTACTGCCGCGTGCTGCTCAATCACACACTTCACGTGAGCGCGCCTCTTTAGTTTACTACTTCAGCATCGCCGCAATGTATGAATGGTGAACGGTGTGCAATCTCCTCCACTCCTCCTCGCTTCACTTTGCTCAACAATGCAGTGTTGTGCATTCTCTTCTATTCGCGCACTATCTATTGGTTGCAACTCGCAGAAGGCAGCGAGGCGGTGGTGTTTATTTTATTGTGGTTGCTGTGTTGTTTATTTTGCTGCTATAAATGTCCACATGATGAGCTGCTTCGTTGAGCTATCATTTGCAGCCCGGGTCACTTATGAAAAGAAGCTAATACCCCAGTGGGCTTTACCTCGTAAGATGAAAATAGTTTTATTTTTGATATATATTTAAAAGTGATTTGTTCACCTTTCCTATGCTTTGCACTCCTATCGTTTATTTTGTACTGTTGTTGTAACGTTCTGACCTGCCACGACTGGACTTGTGTGAAAAGAGCTTTATAGCTCATCGGATTTCTCCAATATAAATACATATTCGGATGGATTCCGATTGTTGTATGGTTGTTGTGGTTTCATGGTTGTTGTGGCCACGGCCGTCAGGGTAATGCGGCGCCGGATATAGGCTTTGGCTTACGTCGATGGAGTCGGCCAGCGATTGCACGCGGTTTTACGGTTTCGGTTTTGGGCAATCGTCGTCAGGGTGGCTGCTGTGTGGTCAAAGTAATTCTGCGCGTTTGGTTGTGACAGGGCGATGTGGTGGTGCTTCTCTCGGCGGACTCGGACGTAGACGACGCCGATGGAGTCACACTGCACCGCTCCGTCGCGCACCAGGCCCACACGGAGCTGTGCGCCCAGGCCCTGCCCAGCGGAGCCGCGCGCGACGTCGATGGCCTGGTGCGGTTTCTCGCTCCCCTACAACGCACGTGTGACGGTGTGGTAGGGGGAGGGTTTTGGAGGTGGTGGTGGTGGTGGTGGTGTTAGTGATTGTGCAGGTGATTGTGAAATGTGGTTGAGGTCGTCAGACTTGTCCAGCAGGGCCGTCCAGCAGAGCCGTCCAGCAGAGCCATGCGCGACGTCTCTCGTCTGGTGCAGCTCTTACTCTTCTACGACACAAACTACAGTGGCGAGATTTGAACTACCTCGCCTGGTATACAGGAGGGCGTAGGTTCGATCCCAACCCTGATGCCTGCTGTATATTTGGAGTTTGTTGTGCTTATATCGCTGGTACTGTGTTTGTGGTGGTGGTGGACCAGCAAGGATATACAAACACCCTTTCTTTGCTGTGGGACGGTCGCACTGTTAGTATGTATGTTTAACTTCTTCCGCACCGTACATAGTCAACCATGCTAATCGAAGGTGCGGGGGATGGACAACACACAAAACGCAGTTATGAAGAAATTAGTTTTCAATTTAGATTTAAAAAGTTCATAGCTCCAGTGACTTCCTCAATTGGAAGGAAGAGCATTCCAGATGACTGCAGAAGCACATCTGAAAGCATGCGATACAGTGACCGTCTTTGTTCAATAGTTAGCCAAAAGCCGCTGAAAGGTTACCAGAGTTTTCGTGATGGTTTATGCTCCTTTACGAGAATAGCAAGATATTGTGGTTAATTTCTGGCAAGCACTATGTGTGTAATGAGTGCGACCTTATAATGTATGCGTTCAGCAACCGGAAGCCAATGCAGCTCAGCGAACACCAGATGGACATGGTCGGATCTTGCAGTACCCATCACGACACGTGCCAAATAATTTTGTACACGCTGCAGCTTAATGTTTTTGCCAGACGACCTCTCGAGTAGTGAGTTGCAATAATCGAGCCTTGTCGATGTTACGCGCCACGGTGTTGGCTATGTCACGACTTAATATTGACCGAATGTGTCGTAGAGCCCTGATATGAAAATTGTAGGACTATATTTTTGCACGTGGCGATCAAACTACGTAAGCCGAAGCATTGCGGTTCCCTAATAGAGGTTTTTTTTGGGGGTTAAATTGGGTAAATATAAATGTGTGGTTAAAGCCACCACCACCACCACCTGACACAGCCAATTAGTAAGGTTTGTCATGTAAACAAAACATGCCAATTCGTTACTAGTCCAGCACATTGGTGTGTTGAAGAGTAAACCCACAACATTTGCAATTCCCACTTGGTCTCTTTCCAGCTGACAGTGTGGACGCGCTTTCCGGACCAGGCCCTGCCCCACGCCTCTACTCGGAGCCGCTACCGTTACAAACTTCACGATCGAGGACTCACCCTGTCGCCTGCACTCGATTCCTGACGACCGCAGTGGAAAAAGCAGCAGCAGCCTGGTGGTGGCACTGGCGGTGGTCGTGTGGCGGGTGGCGGTGGTCGTGTGGACGGGGTGACGTCTTGCCTCGACGCACGGGACTTTGTGGAATGGGACACGTCGTTTGTATGTGGGTTATGGAGCCACGTCCTGCTGATGAGTATCGTCAAAGACTATACTACGGCCTAGGATTTATTGTTTTTTCTGCAGAACTCTGATGTTTTCAGGGTGTACCACGTGTTTTTCAGCATGGCGCCCTGCGTTTCGATCCTGCAGAAGCTCCCAAAATGAGGAGCGCAACGTCGGACATCATGTCACAACACTCCAAAGATTAATCAAAGAGCAGTTATCATAGCTTAATTTCAGCCAGAAAATCACGTTCAGTAAACTTCTCACAATACTATCTACATTATCAACAACATTGTACTATAATCTTCACTACCTATGTTATTATCACCATTACTCTCATAATTACTACTATAACCATCATTCCCATCATAAAGTTCAATAACATCACCATTACTATATTCACCATCACTATGTCCATTGTCACCACTATCACTATAAAATCCACCACCATTATTATCACGATCACGAGCATCACCTGCTCTATCACTACTTTTTTCCACTTAACACAGATTTTTGTAGGCAGTATTACGATTCGAAAATTCACGTGGGTTTGACCATGTAATGATCTCCAAATATGTGTTGTGTTGTGAAACCCTCCACCAACCAAACAATTAAAATTGACACATGTATAAGTCTTTGTTACATCAGTTATTGTTTTTGGTCACCAGCAATATGATGGGAAATATTCACGACAAAATGTGACAATAGGCATGATGCTTCATTTGTAAATATGCCAACCATCAAGAAAAATTACATAACTCAAATGTGTCTTGAATGCTGGAAGTTTCCCCCTAATGTTTAGCATATTTCCAAATGAAACATCCTTTTTATTATTACACGCTTTTATTTAACTCACTGTTGTATACTCAACTCTCTGTCGTATCAAATCTTGTAACTCAATTTTAACCCACTTCCCAATGTGGTATCGACTGCAAACTTGGTATACGTATGGCATACTGATGACAATACTATATTATATCATTCAAAATAAAATATTTTTAAGCAATCTTTTTTATATCTTATGTTTCGGCTTGGGTCTAATTGTCCACGCTCAACTGACGTTGGCTGTAAATCACCACATCCCCTTACGATATGGCAAGCTTCGGGGCCACTTCCTGGAGTCGTGGATTTCTGCCATTACTCGTACGGTACATTTAATTAAAGCGTGTTTAATTTTTTTTTATTATTGCTAAATTTGTCAAAATTACCATTATAATTTACCACCAATACCACCTTCAACACTTGCCACTAGGAAAAAGCATTCCCACTTACACTAAAGCACCATTACGACTTGTAGTCACCACCTCTGCAGTAAACAATTCCATCACCAAAATTCGGATTTATGTTGAACGTCGTTTGCACCGTACGAAGCCAACTGTGCCAATTTGAGGTGCAGGGAAGAAAAAACTAAACGTAAAAAGCAGTTTTGATTTAAAGCTTTCGTGACTGCAGTAATTCATATTCTTAGTTTTTTCGGTAAAGTCACGTTGAAGGGAAACAACAAAATAATAATAATATATATAAAACAATAAAAAATTCTCACGACGTTTCGACCATAACTCAAACGGTCATCTCAGGTGTGTTTGCATAAATTTATTTTTAAACGGCGCATTTATTTATTTATAAAAACGTTAGCGCCACGCGCAACGATTTGGCAGTTTATTTAGGACTAGTCCATCTATATTCTGAAAAGAGGAGGGGGGAGACGAATTTTTTTATATATATGTATGCTGTCTGAAAGCCACTGTAAGCGTGAACAATCAATTAAGACTGAAATGGTTTATCAAATCTTTCCAATGATTGCTAAGATAGAATCCATCTTCTCGGTTGAAATTGTCTCTGTGCTTGTATATGTGGATAGCCTCATGAACGAATCTCTCATGGAAGCCAGATGGCTTACAAAGAACCTCCGTCTTGGAAAAGTCAATGGCATGTGAGCCTACTGAATTAGAACAATGATCTGCCGGCCGAGGTGTTGGTCCTACCGTGTTTAAGGTCTGCTTTGTGTTCACGAATGCGGTCCGAGACATGGCGTTTGGTTTCTCCAATGTAACTACTACCACAGAGGCAACTTAGTTTGTAGACACCAGGGTATTGTATGTCCGGAATCACATCTTTTACAGACGGAACCAGATCACGGATTTTATGTAATGTGTTGAAACGGACCTGGATCTTGTGTTTATTCAAGATTTTGGAGATCTTTTTTGTGATCCCGCAATGTAGGGTAAAGTGATGGTTTTGAAAGGCTCCTCAAGAGGGTTCTTCTTCATGGTTTGAGTGATAGCTTTGCGGATTGTATAGTCGGAGTAACCATTAGCCCTAAGAGCTTGGTGTACGTGCTTGAGTTCACTGCTTATGTGTTCCTGGTCGGATATGCATTGGGCTCTATGATACAGAGTCTTGATGAGAGAATTCTTCTGATGATGGTGGTGGGAATCCGGTTTCAGATAAGCATCCGTATGGGTAGCTTTCCTGTAGACAGAGTGGCTCATTGAACCATCAGGTCTCTTTTTAATTAGGACATCCAAAAAAGGTATCTTGCCATCTATTTCGACTTCCATGGTAAATCTGATGGCTGGGTGTATGGAATTGATGTGGTCGAAGAATTGGTCTAGAGCAGGCCGGCCATGTGGCCAGATGACAAAAGTGTCATCCACGTACCTCTTCCATAAGGTTGGGCGCAGAGTGGCAGTCTGGATGGCGTCAGTCTCAAATTTCTCCATGAAAATGTTAGCTATAACTGGAGAAAGGGGGGAGCCCATTGGGGTGCCCTCAGTTTGTTTGTAGAAAGTTCCATTCCAAGTGAAGTATGTATTGGTTAAACAGTGTCTCACCAGGGGGGGTACCTCAGTGTTTAGTCCTTGATGAACCAAGTCTTCAATGATTGCAATGGTGTCAGGTACAGGAACCTTGGTGAATAAGGAAACTACATCAAAACTGACAAGCAGGTCGTCTGGGGACAGGGAAATACCCTTGATTGTCGATACCAGGTGAGTAGAATTTTGTACCGCAGAGGTGGTCTTTCCAGTGAAAGGACGCAGGATTTCAGACAAAAAACGAGCTAGTTTGTAGGTGGGGGAGCTGATAGTAGAGACTATGGGACGAAGGTGTGTCTACTTTATGTATTTTTGGTAAGCCGTATAATCTTGGTGGCCTGGCAGCAGAAGGTTTCAACGAAAACTGTTTAGATTGATCAATTAATGCGGTTGAATCAGAAATTATTTTGTTGGTTTGTGTGACGAGGCTGTTGGTGGGATCTCTTTTTATTTTTGTATAACTACCATCGTCGAGTAATTCTTTAATTTTGTTGTTGTATTCTATTTTATCCATGATGACAGTAGCATTGCCTTTGTCAGCTGAGGGACTACAATATCATTCCTCTTTTTTAATTTATATAATTCAAAACGCTCATCTTTGCTGAGGTTGCTAGCTGGCATCTTAGCGTTTTTGAGGGTTGCAGCGATTTCAGATCTTGCTACGTCTGCAGCGATGTGACCCAGGCCCCTGAGAGCAACGTCTACTTGGGCAATTATATCATTAACTGGTATGTGTTTAGGTGTGACTGCAAAGTTTAGACCTTTAGCTAAAACGGATTTCAGACCATCGGAAATAGAACTGTTACTGCGATTAATTACGACTTTAACGTCTAACTTTTTGGTGTGTGGGTCCGGTCTTTTGTTGAAGAGGAGGTTAAATTTGGAAATCAGGTTTTCCTTACATTTGGTCGACATAGTAGCAGCTGAAGAGGCAGTCATATTGTCTACATGTTCCCCGACATCATTCCACAGCCATCAGATTTACCATGGAAGTCGAAATAGATGGCAAGATACCTTTTTTGGATGTCCTAATTAAAAAGAGACCTGATGGTTCAATGAGCCACTCTGTCTACAGGAAAGCTACCCATACGGATGCTTATCTGAAACCGGATTCCCACCACCATCCATCACAGAAGAATTCTCTCATCAAGACTCTGTATCATAGAGCCCAATGCATATCCGACCAGGAACACATAAGCAGTGAACTCAAGCACGTACACCAAGCTCTTAGGGCTAATGGTTACTCCGACTATACAATCCGCAAAGCTATCACTCAAACCATGAAGAAGAACCCTCTTGAGGAGCCTTTCAAAACCATCACTTTACCCTACATTGCGGGATCACAAAAAAGATCTCCAAAATCTTGAATAAACACAAGATCCAGGTCCGTTTCAACACATTACATAAAATCCGTGATCTGGTTCCGTCTGTAAAAGATGTGATTCCGGACATACAATACCCTGGTGTCTACAAACTAAGTTGCCTCTGTGGTAGTAGTTACATTGGAGAAACCAAACCCATGTCTCGGACCGCATTCGTGAACACAAAGCAGACCTTAAACACGGTAGGACCAACACCTCGGCCGTGCAGATCATTGTTCTAATTCAGTAGGCTCACATGCCATTGACTTTTCCAAGACAGAGGTTCTTTGTAAGCCATCTGGCTTCCATGAGAGATTCGTTCATGAGGCTATCCACATATACAAGCACAGAGACAATTTCAACCGAGAAGATGGATTCTATCTTAGCAATCATTGGAAAGATTTGATAAACCATTTCAGGGTCTTAATTGATTGTTCCCGCTTACAGTGGCTTTTCAGACAGCATACATTATATATATAAAAAAAAATTCGTCCTCCCCCCTCCTCTTTCAGAATATAGATGGACTAGTCCTAAATAAACTGCCAAATCGTTGCGCGTGGCGCTAACGTTTTTTAAATAAATAAATGCGCCGTTTAAAAATAAATTTATGCAAACCAACACACCTGAAGATGACCGTTTGAGTTATGGTCGAAACGTCGTGAGAATTTTTTATTGTTTTATATATATTTTATTATTTTGTTGTTTCCCTTCAACGTGACTTTACCGAAAAAACTAAGAATATAAAAAGCAGTGTTAATGAAATTAGTTTTCAATCGAGATGATTTAAAAATGCATCGCTCCAGTGGCTTCCTAATATCGGGAGGAAGAACGTTCCAGACTTATGCAGAAGCGTGATACGGCGACCGTCTTCGATAGTTTACCTGGCAGGGTTGAATATTTCTCTAACACGTGGGAAAACACTGAAACGTGGACAGTCGGGCCTATTGAGGAGCTGCAGCTCAAACACAAGTATGGCTCGATGAGCTGAAGTCACGGAATGATCCAACGGGCTTGTGACATCGTCCTGGATGTGATACATGCCTTGGTTCTGCTGGGGTTGGGAGATTGGGGGAGCGGTGGGTGTGTGTAAAAATATTGTCTATTGTGACATCACTGCCATACTGAATCAAATGACTTTTTGTTTTCAGGAGGGTCCTGCAATTGGGATTTTATTTTAAGGATTTTTTTTGCCAATCAACGAGTGTTTTCATGTGGGAGGAAACTGGAGCACCCGGAGAAAACTTACGTGTGCGAGGGGGTAACACTCAACCCTGTAGAGACGGAAACTTGGTGATCGGTCGACTTACTGTACCGCCCGTTTCCTGGCGAGGCAGTACGGTAATGGCACCTCGACGCCCACTGTGAACATTTGTGCGACCCACCAGCCCTCGCCTCCACAGTAACGGGGTTACGGGCATGCATCGCCACAACCACTCGGCATGTCAGGGCAATGAGCCTCTTACATTCAGGCGCTGGGTTCAAACACGAAGTGGGAATGCCGGTGCTTCCCTCCCAGATGCCGAAGTGTTCGTGATGAGCAGGGCGCGGAGCCACGGTGGCGAGATGTTAACTACCTCGCATGGTACGCGGGAGGTTGTGGGTTCGATCCGACCCTAGTGCTTGCTGTATATATTTGGAGTTGCGGTGTCTCTCCCATGGTCGCGTGGATTTTTGTATCCGGGTCCGATTTTTTTCCCTACAGTAGTTAGAATCAACACCACGCATTGGAATATTTGTCCGCTAGACACTTCCACATTCTATGCCACTTCGTTGATCTATAATTTGTGGCCAGGTCGCTTCTGAAAACCCCCCCCCCCACACCGCCCATCCATCCACCTTACAGCTCAGGATCTGTCACCCTCACATTTTCGCTGGGACAAACTTAACGAATGACGGAGAAACGAAATGCCATGAAGATGCCATGCCACCCAATTATGCACTACCCTGCCAAGCCAGAAACATTGACTTCTTCAAGACAGAGGTTCTCTGCAAGCCATCTGACTACCATGAGAGATTCGTTCATGAGGCTATCCACATATACAAACACAGACAATTTCAACCGAGAAGATGGATTCTGGCTTAGCAATAATTGTAAGGATTTGATAAACCATTTCGGGTCTTAATTGATTGTTCACGCTTACGGTGGCTTTCAGACCGCATCCATTATTTTCGTCTCCCCCCTCCTCTTTTCCGAACATGGATGGACTCGTCCATCTGAATAGCCAAGTCGCTCTCCGTGGTGCTAACGTTAAAAACAAAAATAAACCGCAACTTTTTTACAAAAAATGTCTTGCTGTGGTTTTCACACCTGATGATGATTGCTTGTGTTGCAGTCGAAACGTCGTGATAATTTTATTGTTTTATATTTTTATTATTTAATTGTTTCCCTTCTACGTGACTTTACCGAACGAAACAAGAATATGAATAAGAAGCTTTCTTCTTCACTCTGCTGTCCGAATATGGAAATTGCCTTCCTGAACACATCGGCAAAATCACCGGTTCTGGTCTTCAAGGCCTGGAATAACTCCTAACTTAACACAGACCTTTGTAGGGACAGTCTTTGAGCTGCAGTGAACCAATGATTATGCCGATTTAGATGTATTTAATGTCTGATATGGCTATTGTTCACAATTGCACTCACTACAAAAATGTGTCAGGCCTTCAAATGCCGCGCAAACACGGGATATCGCCTAACTTCACTACACGCCTTTGTAGGGACTGAGTCGTTGAGCTGCAGTGAACCAATGATTATGCCGATTTAGATGTATTTAATGTCTGAAATAGCTGTTAAACAATTGCACCCACTACAAAAATGTGTCAGGCCCTCAAATGCCGGGCGCACGCGCTTTGTAGAGTCTTTCAGCTGGCAGCGAACCAATGGTTACGCCTATTCGATATATTTAATGTCTGATATGGCTTTTGTTGACAAAATTGCAAACCAGTGACAAAAAAAATATATGCCCTGTAGAAATGAATGGCGATTTAAAAAATATATATATTGATTTGTGTCGGTCAAAAACTCCGCGGTCCCTAAACTCTCGAATCGCCTCGTCCAGCAGGCGCCACGTGTCAACGAGTTCCGGGCACCCCTTCGCACCGCGCAAACAAAAGTTGTGCATTGAAGATGCATTTACAAAGTAAATAAATTCAAGTAAGCGTCGACGTGGGTGGGAGCAGGCGTCCCATCATTGACGTGCTTCTCGAGAGGGTGAGTAAAAGGAAGCTTTCTAAAAGAAAAAAAACGTAATTTTTAAAGGCGAGGTATTTTTTTTAGGGTAGTTGCGTACTTGCGGTGAATGTATTCACAAGTAGCTGTACAGTGGTGTCACGCAGTCCTTGTGGCGAGGACAATTATCTGGTTGATGTTTTATGTTTGCACGTTCATCACGGTTCCTCGCGAAAGTGTTTTTTTTCTGTTTGGTGTTTTGAACATCTTCTTAACAGCTGTTTTATTGCCAGAAAGGGTTCACCGTCTCGCGTGTGAATGAATTAGCATTGTTAAAAAGTTGAATACGTTGAAATAAAGTCGTGTAGCACGGCGTGCGAGTGAATTGTATGACGCAATGGATTGAATACGGTAAACCAAGGCAGAAGTTCCACGTAACGCCTGCCTCTGCCGCTGGAATGTGGAATTACCATTGTTGGCTTGGGTCACCGTTAGAGATGAGCAACCCACCCCCTATGTTCACTTGAGTAGCGAGACATTTATCCTTTGGTGAACCAAACTTTTAAACAGCAGTGCCTTAATGCATCCATTGCAACCCCCCACCCCATTTAGTTCACCACAAAGTCCGAACAATTGACTTGGAACACAGTCTCCTCTTTGGATCCCACCAGGATATGGCGTGCGCGGTGGCCACCCCGGTGCCGGAGCCTAGCGGGGACTTCCCGGCGTGGCTGGAGGCGCAGGGCGTGAACGCGGAGGTGGCCCGGGCCATGGACTCGGAGCTGGGCATCCGGGACTACGGGGTCCTGCGCGCCTGCGTCGGGGACGGCCTCGTGCGGGCCGAGCTGCTGGCCACGGCGCGCGACCGCCTGCCCTTCGGCTTCTACGCCGTGCTGCGGCAGGTGGTGAAGGCCCTGCGGGGCGCCGAGCCCCACGATGGTTCTGGGATTCCGCGCTGGGACGCCGCCGCCGCCGCTTCCGCCCCCGGCGACGTGACCCTGGGAGGCCTGGTGGAGGTGCTGCTCGCGCTGTTGAGCGGCTTGAGCCGGGAGCTGCTGCTGTCCGCGCGGAGGCTGGGTAACGGGGACGATCGGAAACGCCGAGTGGATTCTTCTTTGTCGGCAGCTCGTGTTACTTCTGAAGATGAGCCAGCAGAAATGGATCAGTTTGAACAAAATGGTAATGCCAAATTGTGTACCCACCTTTTTAGATTTGTTTTGCATCCTACAGTGCTTTTGATTGTGTAATGTTACTTTACAAACTATACATGTAATTGATAATACTACGTCGTACCCCTTGATAATCAGCCAATGATACAGCTGTAATTTATTATACGTTTTAGGGGAAAATGCAGTGGATTTATATATGTAAAATATTATTTATGTTTCCGATGTGGTTTTGGAATGGTGCAGGGGAGTCGGAGGAAACCTTAATTCCAGCCTCGGATGACACCAACTCCACTATCACTGCGGACCAAATTAAATTGGAACCCCTTCAAGGTACAGCTTTTACTTGTTTTAACAATTGTGTCCAGCATTTCTTAGCTACATTTTGTGCCGAAATTATATTGTATCGTTTGTGTCTGGATGTTATTTAGGCCCATTGTTTTTTTCAGGTATGATTTCCAATTCTGTAACCCCTTTGCTATTTCCTCAAGCACTGGAGCAAGGATCAGGAGAGATGGCTTTAAACGAGCTTCATGGTAAGTGCCGATTGCTGAGCTGGGAGCTGCTACTGTCCATACAGAGGCTGTGAGTTGGGGACGGCCAAGGGGTGTGCACTGATGGCTTCACACCTGAAGCTAATTAGGATCGTGATGGAATGAAATCTGATATAAGTTTACGTGTTGAAAATGGTAACTGTTGGGCACAAGTCCATCAAACATGGATAACGAATGTGCCATTGTATTTAAGGTGGCCGTAGGGTTGCGACCTTCCCAGGCTTGACTCAGACGGTCTGGAAATTGGCATCTGTCTTTGGGTGGAGGAATTGATTTGTAGCGAGATCAGGTATATTGCTGAACTTCATCGCGTATACTGCACGGTTTTGAGAGATCTAGGTTGACTGAGAAATGCATCTGGGATTGGTCTGTGGAAAAGCCACCTAGGTGGCTGACTAGGACAGCAGTCAGAATCTTCACCACTGGTTACAGGTACTAAGATGGACTGTTGCATTGTGGGACTAGTAAGTATGGCCTTCATTCAGCAGCAGACAGATCATGGCTTATGATGACGATATCAGCATTGATGGCAGCTGTGTTTTTCATTTTATTTCAGACAAGATGGGAGTGACCTCGGCTTCAGTCGCAGACGACTCGATGGTGCAGATAAAAACGGAGGCCCCAGAAGGTAAAGTGTCCACATACATTCATCACAAATGGGCATTCACAGATGAACAGTAGACTTGGAAGTAGCCGATCAAGCACGTTATTATGGTACTCCAGTGACATCACTGTGTAATCTGTTGCTAGAACGCTATGACGGAGCGCCTGAACTTCATGGTTAAGCCTTTTTTGCCTCTTCTTTGGTTCTTTCGGTAAAGTCACGTAGAATGAGAATAAAATAATAAAATAAGACAATAAAATTCTCACGACGTTTCTTTAATGATCTTTAATGAAGCTTTAAACTTGGACCACAGTTAATCCTAGGCACGTAGCTTCTGGGACCGTAGCAAAACTGGAACATTATTAAAAAGTTGACAAATAAAGAGGTGGCCAGTGGCCTTTTAAAGGTCAGTACTAAGCTGGCACAGTTGGGAGCCTGAGTTTAAATACAGGCAGCTGCCTGTATTTAAACCGGTTTCTTAATTATAGTCAATTGAAAGTCTCAGCTTGGTCACCGATGATTGCACACTCAATAAAAACATTACACCAAATATAGTTCTGCACATGTTCTCAGTAGGAGGATCTGTGAACAATTTGGTGACTTAGAGGGCACCATTGAGGTATCTGCTCAAGTGACTCATTATCAGCAGAGGGCAGTGCAGAAACATCCATTGTATGGTCCTGTACAGTACTCCAACGTCTTTGCTCACTACCTTCAACTTGCACTTACCAGCGTGGCAAAAGTACGGCCAAATAGCTCCCATGTCTCGCACGGTATGGGTGCTCACTGATCAAGGCAGTGGATCGACAAAGGGTTGTAATCCACGTGTAGCTAATCTGACTTATGTTCACCTAAATTCACACTGATGATCGGATTGATCGCACGGCGGTTGTCGTTTTACGATTGCCATGGCCACCGTTCCGTTGCAGCAGAAGAGGCATTGGTGTCAACGCACGGAGACGTACATTTGAGCGACCGTGCCAAGTGCGAGGAAGACGGGGGCCAGAGACTCTGTGGCCATTCCTGCCCTAGAGCAGCTAGGTGAGGAGCAATGGGGAGGGAAGATGGGGGCGAGAGGGGAAAGTGAGAGGAAGTCAAATTGAATAATAATTTCATTTATATAGCGTCAACATTGTAAAGATTTTAATGGTGCTTGCAGATTAATTCGTTTGAACTCTTGAGACTAATCAAGAGTCGCGATGGACTGTCCACTCAAAAGCGGTAACCCCAAGCCTAATTTGAGTTCCAGACGGGGCATATATGAAACTTCACTCAGCTGTGACGGCATTAGTTTTCATCACTTCCATTGATGGCGTGGCAGATGAATACAGCACACAAGGAATACAAACCTTTAGCCTGTCAACTGAGGTATGATGGATTTCTGGATGACCTGATTTTGTAAGTCAGAAGTGGCAGTTTAGAGTCTGCAAATGTAACTATTTCCAAAGATATAGAGTTAACGTCTTGTAATTGTGTATTTTTTGCATAAATCAAAAATTATTGCTTGCACACGTTATTTGACACATGCTTCGTAAGTGTAAAGATCAATCTAACTAAATGTATCCATTAATTGTCAAAGATTCGGGGACACAATTCAAGCATCGATTATTTTCATCTTGCTTTTACGGTCTCAATTATACAGCTCCATAAGATCAAAAAGCATCGTTTCTTTGACACATGATTTTATATGGGTTTCGTGAGTGCACAAATCTATTTTTAATCAATGAATTGATGAATTGTGACATGCCTCGGGCAGAATGAGGGTGGACGATGGCGAGGAGAAAGGCGTGGATTAGGATTTGTGCTTGAAAGTGCATTGGTGCCCCATCCTTATAGTGTCTTGAGATCCGATCATATTGAGATGCTTTACAAACCAATTTTTTTTACTCTGAAGTGAGACTTGTGGAAGCATACGATGCATTCATTTCATTTTTTCTTTTTTATATCTCCCTTGTATTCCTTTTTGCCAGTCGACGCATGTCAGACAGGAACATAAAATAGAGTGTGATCCAAGATTGATAATTGTACTAGGAACCGCATCATTATCGATGTGTTGAATAGTTGCATTTCATAGTTACACAGCAAGTGGCGATCCTGTGTTTATCTGCCACTTTACAATAATTCGGATTTTTCTGATGTACAAACACGATCTTCTTCTTCTCAGACGAGGAGACTGTTGAGCCCTCTTCGGGTTTCATCATCCGTCTCGTGATGCCGATGCAAGTCGGCAGTCAAGTCGTAACCTCATCATCCCCACACGACGGAACCACACAAGGTCTGTCTGCTGGCAGCCACGTTTCCAGGACAGTTCCGCCAACGACAGCGACGATAACACCGCCGGTAACAACGGCGGTCACCGCAATGACCGGCAGCGGCATTCGTATTGACCGCTGCTTCGCGGAAATGAAACCAGACATGCAGGAGCAGTCCGCTCAGCCCAGAGCTTCGATCATCGCGCAACAGCCAGCCGCGCCCACCAGAGGCAACAAGCTGTACTTCTGCAACCTGTGCGGCCAGGGTTTCACACAGAACGCCATGCTCAACGTCCACCTGCACAAGCACACGTGCGAAAAGCTCTACATATGCGCCATGTGCGGCCGAGGCTTTTCCAGCAGCACCAACCTGAACATCCATGAGCGGACCCACACAGGCGAGAAGCCATACCGCTGCGGAGTGTGCGGCCAGGCGTTCACGCAGCCCAACAGCCTCAAACGACATCAGCGCATGCACACCGGCGAGAAGCCATACCGCTGCGGAGTATGCGGCCAGGCGTTCACGAGCAAGCCCAACATGATATACCACCAAGGCAAGCACCTGAGCTAGACACCGCCACAACCTCTGCCACCGCAGTGATGCACGGTTGTGCATTGGTGCTGGTGCGTACCTTCAAACACGAAATGGGTTGTGTGTGACCCTCGGTATTAATACTGAGACACGGGAACTTCCACATCACTACAGGGGTGCTGCCCTATGCAAACTTTCCTTGGTTAAAACCTCTATCCTCGCTGTTCTATTTTCCAATTTGATCTGCTGTTGGTAAATTCATCAAGATTTGATTGCATTTAGATACTATGTACATTGAAATTGTCATTTGCACTGCCTTTTTGGAAATGGCTGTGGTGGCGTGCATATAGTCCAAATATATTAATGAAATCATGTTTGGACATTGCAAAAACTGGATTTTTTTTCAGAAAGTTGAAAAAAAAGTTATTTTTCTACATACCATGTTTCCTAGGATTTAGGGTATAGGAGTAAATGTCAGGGACAAGTATTCTAATCGATTAAGATTTATTCGACAATTTTATAGCACGAGTTATTTGTCAAATTATAAATCGTTGTTACAAACGTTCACAAGGAAAGTCATACATTGCTTCTCCCTAAATTATCTTTCAAACCACTTTCTTTGGCCAATGGTTTGGAAAAAAATCCCTTCATAAAAAAATCATTAATGGTTGCCGTTATCCTGAACTACAGTAATTTACATAGTTTGCAACCCTTTGTAATCAATTGCTGAATTAGGGCTTCCCCACGCTGTATCAGGCAGGTTAGGTTGGCACAGGAGGTGAAGGTCCCAGGACGGGTTCAGTTATCACTCGCCACTAATGCTGGCCATGGCCGAGGATCGGAACTCGGGTCGCCAAGTTTAAAAGACATGGTGCCAAACACTGCACCCCATGTATTCCTCCAACCAGCAGGGCCAAATGCAAGATCACCTGCCTTTGCCACCACACTTCCTACTTTTGGTTCTCCACCATATCTTCACTCCAGTCACCCTACACTACAGCTCCACAGTAGAACTCCCCATAGTGCCACTCATAACCTCCTCTCTATACCAAGGACTAGGGCCGTCGATGCCAGGCATCGTTTCTCCGTGGCAGCCCCCGCCGTCTGAAACACCATTTCTGCTACACATTCGCAGCACATCTACTGGTTAGAAACACTTTAAAGGTCCCACGTCTATTGCCTGGCTTTAGTCACATGTAGCTTGGCTCCGCGCCTCAGTCACTCATGTCTGTAAAATATTGTGCGCAGTATAAATTGGGTTATTTATACATTTATTTCAATTCCAATAGCAACAATTTTCATGATTACAACGATTTGCCATGATTCTGTTCCACTTTACATTACCATTCTGATCTCAACAGCAAATATTTTACGATTGTCATAAGTTAGAAAATAAAACTCGTCAACCAGATTCTAGATTTTAAAAAATCCACATTGGATTAAAAGAAATGCAACCAAAGTTAATTTGGAGGCATTCCAAGGCTTTGTTTCGGGACTGAGCTTTATTAGACACTAAGGTGTCACTGCTGTACCATTTAACAAATTTTCATCAAGGCAACTTCATGCTGGGAGCATGAGCACCATTCACAGATTTTGTACGAATTTGTCTCTACTGCAAAGTGAATTGCTTTCATTTCAACTGGCATTGTCCTGTAACTGCCCCTGTGACTGATAGTCTTGGCTGGTTATCCTTTTAACAGAGCTGCTTTTGTTAGTGGGCCTTGCCAGCTGAAATAAAGTCTGACAGCCAGAAAAAAAAGCCCTGATTCACATTTTATGCTGGCTGTGGTTTAGTTTGCCAAAGCAGAATGCTAGTCTACCATATAAACATGCCCCCCTGCTGACATGCATCACATGATTGGACTTACTTTTACTGGTATCAATCAGTGTGGCTGTAATACAACGCAGGGTTGTCAATAAGAAAATTACATCTGCACAGCAGGGAGACCCGTGTCTCTGTCAATCTTTCTCCGCGCATTTCACGGGACGCTGCGCACGAACCCACTACATGCACACCTGTCCACCAGACCATTGTGCCAAGAGTTGGCATCACTGCGGCAGCGCCATTTCCTCGTGCTTGCTTCGATGGTACTTCATGTTGCGCTTGTTTCGTGAAGGCCTGTCCACATACATCACAGTGATAGGGCTTCTCACCCGTGTGCGTGCGCTGTGCCGCTTGAGGCTGCTGAGATGCGAGAAGGTCTGCGCGCATACGCTGCAGCAATACGGCTTCTCAACCATGTGTGTCCGCTCGTGGACATTCAGGCTGCTACTGTTTGAGAAGCACCTGCCGCACGTGACGCAGCGGAATGGCCTCGTGGCCATGTGGCGTGCGCAGGGTGCACGTTGAGGTGGGCTTCCGATGTGAAGGTTTGTACGCACATCTTGCAAGAGTAGGGCCTCTCCTCACCCCACTGAATGACCCCCTGACCACCACCGCCGCCGCCATCAAGAGGGTGGTATTGGGGTATTGGCATCATTTGAGGCCCCACGGTTTCCCGGCCTATGCCCGCCCATGTCTCCTCACCAGCCTCCGGCATCTGCAGCGATGTGTGAGAGATGCAGCCCATGGTCGTATTCATGGACTGGAAGTCAAGATCTGAAGGTCGTCCATTGATGCACATGTCTGTGTTTATCATGAGGGAGATACACAATGAACAAAGTTATTTTTTATTTAACTTGATGAAAGTTGAGGCAGCAGATGATAAGCTTGTGCCGATGCATCTCCGATGGTGTTGTTACGAGCTGCATTAAAATGGCGTCATTCCAAATAGCCTAAGGCCAAATCACCTAGAGTGTGTGCAGTATCTTAAGATAGCCACCACTTTGTACGACTGCCAAAATGTGAGTACTGCCCCATGTTCCTTTAAATATAAAAACACAACTTTTTTTAGCTGGCCGGGTGGCTCAGAGGTTAGATAAATGAGCCGACATCACTGAAATCCTGGATTTGAATCCATATCTTAGCCACCAACTATTAAATTGGCTTCTCGTGGCCAGTGAGATGATCGCCTCAGCCAGGTCATCAATGGCATGAAAAAATAAACATGTTAAAAAGTTTCACCAAATTTATTTTTGTTCCACTTTTTGTAAATGCCACATTTAGATTTAACTGATATGCAATGAACAAGCTTTGCAGGGCTATCAAATATGTGCCTATAGTGTGGATAAGAGACCTAGTGAAGTGATTTCAGAAGTTGTTTCTGCGACATCATCTTCCAGGCTATACTCTAACACATGGCAATGTGTACTGCTCACTGCCCGTGTTCCAAATATTATATATATATTTTTTATCGAATGTTGCCAGCGAGAATAATTGGAGTATAAGCTGGGATAAAAGTGAAGAACAAAAAAACATTTTAACTTTTTGTCAAAATCTATATTTCAAATGGGATTGTTTCTTACCATCTTGGTCTTCCAATTTTATTTTGTGCAACGCTTGGTTTGGACTGGAGTCTTCGGAAACCAAAGCTGCAACTTCTCCCGTGTATTCTGCGAAGAGCCACGTGTTCACAAATGGTTATTTAACGGAATGCACAATGATTTGGCATTTGCTCCTCACTGTCGACTGAGATGCATTGCGCATTAAAAGCATTCTGTCCACTTGTGAGATGTGTATGATGACCGAATTGTTGAATACCGATCTTGCGCAACTGTCGGTTACCTTTATTTTACCAAGTGAGAAACCACGAAGACTGCAATTATTATTTACAAGGGAAACGTGAGAAACAAAATACTTTTAAGCACCGAGCCAGTTATAGTGTGTATACATATGTGAATTGTGTTATGCATGTACACAGTGTAGCATACGTGTAGTGTCGTGGCTTTTTTGTATAGAAGGCTCCGCGCGGCCTCGAGCCATGGACAGTTATGTCCAGGAAATATTGGGAGCATTATAAATTGCATTATTATTGTTATAAAGTAAGGTCAATAAGGTCATCCAGGAGGTTCTTGGGACAAGAGCTGGATTTATAGCCGAGTAGTTATGATTACAGTAGATTATTTCCCCCCCCCCCCTCCACTCCCGCATCCCACTTGCTATAGGCATTGTCTATGGTTTACCTTATTAAAGTCATGATCAACTGCATTGACTGGAGGGGGATATGTTACTGGAGTTTATAAAAATTTTTAACCAAGTGAGAACTCAAGACAAGGAGAGTCATTTGCAGATTGACATCAGAATCTTTAGACTGGAGAATCTCTCTTTTCACAGACGTCAAGCACAGCAGCAGACATGGCTGTGAACTGTGAGCACCAGAGATGCTCCTACATTGTGGTAATCGGCAAGACTTGAAACCACAGCATATGGCCATGATGCAAAGCTTGCTTGGACCAGAAGACAGACAAATTCAAAAGCAGAGATGAGGCATCTTCAGGTAAAAAAACTATTCGGTTGCTTGGCTGGGCTCCTGAGCTATATGTATTTTGAGAGAGAGTCGTGGTAGATGCACCTCGACTCGCCACAAGTGCCGTGGTGACGTTGCCACCACTTAGTGGTGAATGGCAGCTGCCATTGTGAGTGGTAGATGCAAAAAAATCACTTCCCACGAGTGTTTAACTATTTGTATTGGCTAAGTTGTCGCTTGGAGTGTTGCAACCTGCTGTCATGCACTGTCATACCTGATGGCAAGATTACACCATGACGATAGCATGTGTGTAATATACCATGTGTGTATATAATGTATTGTGACGATATCATAATTTGTTTAATCGTGTTGAAGGTGTGTCGCAAAGTGCAGTGACTGATTCAGTGAATGGGTCGAGACTGTCAAACTAGCCACGTGGGGATCATAGGTTATGAAACGACAGGTTGTTAGCTCTCGTATAAACCCATGTCTCCATGTTAAAAACAAGAGTTTTAGTCTCAATGGGCTCTCATTTTGTTATATATATAAATAAAGAACATTTACATATTGGTGTATGTGTGTGTACTTTAATTTGCGAGTGTTGCCATCCCATCATGGAGTTGTCCTTTAACCTGGCAAAGGGTGAAGCTGGGGCTGGAATCTACATCTGGGATCTGGACTGTCAACTCATCTGACCGGTCCATTGTCTTGGGTTCCAAATTCCTTATGGAATAACTGTGCACAATGCATTTGATTTGCTATTTGCATGGCGCTGTGCCCTATTTTATAAAATATAGGGCTGTAAATCACGTGCTACAAGACCTGCAACTTACTCAGCTGGTGAGATCTGGCGGTACAGCAAGTGGACTCTGGACTCATATCCGTAAAATGTTGAGGATTATTCACTTGTACTCATGGGGTTTTTTTTGGATGCTCTAATTTCTTTCCACGTTACGAAAGAACTGGCCAAACGTGAACAAGAAGGACTCGGTGAGGCTTTCCCATGTACATGAAATGAGTATTAAAAGTAGATTGGTCCCTGCCATAGTGTAAAAAGTATCCACTGACTTGGACAAAATTTGTCACTATGTGACCTCTGCAAAACATTACCAAGTGGTCTCATCTCTGTCAAACAGTCGTCAAACATATAATCCCTGGAGGGTTTTAGAGCATTACCTCCTTGCAGCAGGTGCTCACTGTGTGTGGATAATTCATTCCTCTCCTCTGAGGGCAGCTCTTCATTGACTGCCAGGTTCTTGTATTCAACATCCGCCGTAGATGGAGTGCAGTCAGCAACGCAAATTTCAGGGTTCTCCATGGCTCCCAGCCTCTGCACAGATAGCAGCAGCTCTCGGCTCAAGCCGCTG